TTTTTTTTTTTTTTTTTTTTTTTTTTTTTTTTTTTTTTTTCAGTTTCCAAAATAGTGCTGTGTCCACAAGGAAGAAAAAAATGGGGATTTAGTGAAATAAGCTGGTGGATTTCCCAGTCACTACTGTTATAAAAAAAGCCTATCAGAAGACAGAGCTGGGGCTAGTAATGCAAATGCACAAAGAAAACAAAGGTAGCTTAGTTGTTATGGGCTCTAACAAAATAACCTTTTTATTTCAGTTCCACATTTCCTAGTTTTAATAAATGCAAATAAAATGATATGAGGCAGACAGGAGATTCAGTAGGAACTTATTCAAAGCAGTAAGGCTGTATGATGGATACAGTACAGCTGTGCAATACTTCCAGAAATGCAGCAGCTACAGCTCAGAAGAAACAGGCTACCAAGATATATTCATTCTCTGTTTCTATCTGCTCTCTGAAATAGATAAGATACAATACAGATACATTCTGTGCACCCAGTTAAGCCAGCAGACAAAAGCACCTCTCTCTTCCCTGCTCAGGAAAGTGCATTGCTGATGTCCCTCACTGGTTTCTCCAAGCACGCACCACATTATGAACCAAGGAGATGGCATTCATCCTTGTCCCATTTGCTACTCCCCTCACATGCACACACAATCTGACTTTCTCTTTCAGTTCCAAGAGTAGAGATGTCATTTTTTGTGTGTGCATCAAGGTAATACTCTCATTTACACTGCTCACATGGCCCGTGCAGCTGAAGTTAATCGTAAGGCACATAATTCCACAAATTCAGTCCAGCAAAGATGGACATCAGCCAGGCAGTGAACAGCCAGCACCGATGCTGAGGGTCTTCTCCACTGAGCACCAGCATTGCTCCAACTTTGGAGTAGCTGCAGAAATGTGAGGTTTCAAACTCAAGCATCTTCTGTGATGTTTTGTTGCCTGATCTTCCCTATCACAGTAAACACAGTGCCTTGTATAAACCCAGAGCTGCTTTTGAGTGAGTGATGGAAAGAATGACAAAACAGCAGTTGTTTGAACTGGGTATGTCAGAATTGGCCCTTAAATGAATGATGCTGAAAGTCTTGGCAGCTTCCAATGGCTATGCTTTCTTTTATAACTTTAAGTGCTTGCACATTTGTTAGTAATTAGTAAGTAATCTGCACAATTGCTCTCCTTGCTTGGCTTCTAGACATGCATGATTTTTTTAAATTGAATCCCTTGTTAGAACTAACAGCTACTTTTACTGCTGCAGTGAGTGCACTGCACTCCTCAGAGGCTTGTCCATACATGTGAAATTAATCTCTCATAGCTGCTTACTATATGCAGATTACAGCATCTCTACTTGTCTGCATTAAACGTGCTGTATGATTTATACAGCAAGAGAATAATAATTCTATAATAATTCCATAATAAACGGAGGACATTGTACTTATTCATTCAGTACCCAAAGGAAATGGATGACAGTTGATACAGTTGATATTAGTTGTGCATTGGATGTTGGTATAGAACATGGCAGGGAGTGATTTCCTCAGTGTAGTTTTTGTTCTTTTAATTTCTTCTTGTAATTCACCTGCTGTGTTTGAATACATCCCAAAGAGTTGAGCCATCTTGGCCCCTTACTTCTTTCTAAGTTCCAGTCTTGCCAGGAATGTTGTCTCAGTCTTCAAATAATAGTTTGGGTTGGAGAGCTACCAAAAAGCCAAACTTACTTGAAGCAAAGAGATTAAATAAACAACTTGATTTATAATTAAAAAATAAGAAATCTGCAGCAGCTAAACACCAGTTTTATGTTAACTATACAATAAGCTTACTATTTCAGAACCTGAACTGTAGAACACCACACCTGAGAGGAACACATACCACAGGATGTAGAGAAGAAGCCTATTACAAAGTATGGATTAAGAAGCTGCTACACAATTTCACTTTTAAAAGATTCTGGTAGTGGGAAAGGTCAAAGGATGACGTAAAATCACAGCTAACATCACAGCACAGGCACCTGATGTGTGGCAGCTGCTCCTCTCCAAACAGCAGCCAGGAAGGGGATGCTGATCAGCCAGTTTGCACTAAGAGATCAAAAAAAGCATCCATAGATAGTCATGGGAAACCTTTAGACCCCTTCTGTGCAAGTGGGGGGACATAAGCTTAACCTTAATTCAGGTTTCTTGCTCCCATTTATCAGTGACACTGCATTCAGTCTTTGGGGAGCTCCTACCTGAGTCAAGCACCACCAATGTTAATACAGCTTGTCAAAACACAGTCAAATTACATGCAGCCTTTTAGGCTTCTGAGCACAACCTATTGAAGTGTGCAGTCCTGTGCTGCTGTTTGCCAACACCATAAACAACACAGAGTTTGTGTGGCTTAGTGCACAGTTACCCGTCACATGTGACTGCTATGGCAGTGATGCACTGAGGAGGTCTAATGCTGGAGCAACAGCAGAGCATTGCTTCACTGATTTCTGGGGAGCTTTACCTGTTTAATTTACCTTTAAATGCAAGAAATGACTTGACACAATTTAAAAGTTTGGATCCTTAATTTCCACACAGGATGACTCACCTGGAGTCAGCTCTGAGCCGCTTTCTTCTGAAGACCTGTCTGAGTGCTGAACAAATAACTGATGAGAAAAGTGTTCCAGGAGAACAATGCACCTGCTTCCAACTACTGCACTTCAGCTGCAGGATTAAAGCACTGTTTTGCAATGCTTAGCATTAAGTGAGTGACTAATGTGCCAAGCTACTCACCTGTGACTCTTTCCCAGGCTGAGGCACTCTGCACTCCCTGTCCAGGCCCAGCCACAGCCTCACCTCTTTGCTATGCTCTCACCTCTTCACTGTGCTCCTGAACCAATCAGGAGGGTTGTTGGAAGCTGGCAAATATCCCTCTATACATCTTCCACTGATTTGTCTCATTGCCTTCTCTACAGGAATAGGTCAGGATGCCACTGGATAAATGTGGCACCACTTATGCTGGGCAGGAATCCTTCCTTCAGGTCCTCACTCAGATGCTCTCCAGTCCAGATGAAATATTTGTTTTCAAAAACTCAAACCTTCCAAATTTTCTTCATATTCCTCCCTAATCTTCAGCTTGCTCACTGTTGTGCTCCTGACTGCGTTCACCTGTAGCAGAGGAGGAACGGATTGATTTATAAGTCACGGGGACTTTCTAGCTCACTGTCTAACTAATGCCATTTAGGCACTTAAAGAGAGTTTCATTAACTTAAATAATCATCAAAAGGACCGTGCACTGACTGCGTTCCTCACAAATAACATGACAATGTCCACATCCAGATTTAACAAACATATTTGCTTGTTCATCATCTCTCTGCACACACAGTTAACAAATACAGCCTTTGGCGGGATGGGGGGGGAGGGGGGTGGGGGAGAACAAATAGACTGCAATACCAACAAAACACAGAGACACTGTTTTGGATCACCTGGTTAACAGCAAACAAGATTAATCGCATCTCTGCAGCCCAGACGGTGTAACTCAGTGCCTACAAAAAAAATTTCATTGTTAAAAATACACTGCTTCTTGCTAAGCTGTTTGTTTTCAGTATTGACAGAAGCGGTAAGGGATATGAGAATGTCCTGTCCTTTGCAAGGCAGGCAGTTTCAGCAGGCTCTGCTCAGCTGCTGCTTCCAGAGGGATGAAGCAAATCTCCCACCAGCATGGCAGCACCCAGCTCCTGTCATTGACCATCTCACATTTGAAAGCCAAGATTTCCCAACCTCAGCAGGTGGAAGAGGAATCAGAATCTGCTCCTCAAAGCCTGAATTCAAATTGTTATTCTCTGTGACAGATGTATAAGGCCACATAACAGCAATGCTGCAAGAAGGCATATTGTCCTGGTTTATCCACTTTTTGTTAAATTTCAGCTCTATTTTTAGAAGTTTTATAAACTCCCATGACTGTTTATGTAAAATAAGGTGGCTAACAGCTGAAGATGATGAGTGCTCAGAGAGCTCTGTCTGGTTTATGTGTTTCTCAGACGGAGGATTTTGTTGAGTGAAATGAGATTGATGTGTAACAAGATACATTTTATTTTTTTATTTAGCAAAGACCAAACATTTAATTGCTCCAGTCTAAGTCTTGGGCCACAATAGTGCTAAATTTAGGCCCCGAAATAACTTCTTGTGATTTACAGGTTTGCAGCTTCATGACTGGAAAATCATGCAGAGCCTGCGTCAGGGAGCAACAAGCTGACCTCAGCAAGCCTCGAGCAATTCATCGAACGGCAGCTATAAAGCCAGCAGTCACACACACTGCATACTGCTGGAGCTGTAAGAAGGACTGGAAGGTCAGAATGCAAATAACAGAATGAGAAGCAGACTAATGCTGTGAGTAAACATCTTCTCTTGCACACAGACATATCAGAAAGAGTGGCAGTTGTAATAAATTAATGCCTTATTCCTTCTTTTGGAGGTGACGTTTTGTTAGCTATACTAGCTTTCCTATCCTCCAAGTCTTCTCTATAAAAAGAAGAAACAAGGACTGGCATTTTAGTAAATGCAGACATAGATTTAAATACTATGCAGTGAGAACGACTGCTCTCCAGGGACTTGGAAAAGATCAGCACAGCTATTGCAACACATAACGTAACTAAGATGGAAAAAACCTCATCTTCTACCCTGGATGTTTATTGCATATGTTACAGCTCTGTGCATCTCGCTATCACTGCTGCTAGCAGGAATCGTATAAGCAGAAAAAGAACAGAACATTCTCAAGAAAGCCTCTGCAAAGAGAAGTGTGATCTCCAGGGTGAGAGCTTGTGTCATTAATGCCTGACATCAGATTTCATTTCTTGGCAATAGCTAAATTCTCACTGACTTGAGCAGCAAGTTTGGGCTGCAGGCTCACCCCCCCACTTTCCATTGGCCTTGCTCTTTTACAGCAAGATTACAGTTACAGGAATAGATTAAGTCCTCAGAAGCACACAAAGGAAAAGATTTGGCACTACACCTGTAGCAGCTCTTAGCTTTGCTGTGCAAACAGACCGAGGCCAATGCACCCCAAGTAGGTGAGGATGAGTTGGGGGCAGCTCCACTCACTGAGCATTTTCTGGAAAGCAGCACCATCAGATTCAATGGGAATGTTCAAAATACCATCAGCAATAGGCAGTGTGAGACACAGCATAGATGCAGGCTCTCCCTCACTTTGCCTGTATATGGCATTGCCCGTGGAACCAAGCTCCTCTGCTATCCCAAAAGCAGACCTGCCTAGCTCACCTGATGTCAGCAGCACTGATGATGTTGTTTGATGTCAGATGCTTTCCCCTTGTTTTTGAAGTCATACACAGAAAACGTCTTCTGTCACATAAATGTTTTAACTACCATCCCAGCAAAGGTCAGGGTCACCACCAGAAAGCACGCAGCACAGCATGATGCAGCAAGAAACTATTTGGGGTAGTTTCTTCACTGGAAAAAAAAAACAACAACAACAACAACAACAAAAAACAACATGAATAATAGCCTTGCTTTAGAAGTGTAATAAAAATGTAAACTTAAAATAAATATTATTGCAGACAATAAAATTCAATCTAGGTTTTTTTTTTTTTTTAAACAAGATGTTATAGCAAGTACATTCTATCGGGCCATCTCACCTCACAATTCCATATTCATGGGGTTGAAAAGGATCACAGTGATCATCTAGTTTCAACCCCCTGCTATGTGCAGGGTGACCAGCCACCAGACCAGGCTGCCCAAAGCCACATCCAGCCTGGCCTTGAATGCCTCCAGGGATGTATTCAGTGTTTTTCTGATATTTTAGCCCGAAATGCTATTTTTTTCCCCCCCATTGTTTAAAGGCATAACAAAAGTCACCTTAGAACCACTGAGGTTGGAAAGACCTCTCCAAGTCCAACTCCAGCCCATGTTCTCTCGGTGCCATAACTCCTCAATTCTGGAACAGGTCCAGGGATGATGACCTCCCCACTTCCCTGGGCAGCCTTTGCCACTGCATCACCGCTCTGTTGTAGAATAAACTTCTCCTGATACCTAACCTGGACCTCCCCTGCAGCAACACGAGGCCATTCCTTCTCATCCTCACACACGCTTTTCCTTGGCAAGCTCCCACCTGGGATGCTCCGGCACGCAACAGGCAGCACACGCTTTCAAATATTAAATAGAGCTCATTTTCACCTAAGGCAAGACGCACCTAAGGCACAAGGCTGCGGAGGGGACGTTGCACTGCGCTGCAGGCGGTGCTCACACAAAGAAGCGAGGGTGCCTTAAGGAGCTCCGCGCCCAAACTGTCGTGACGCGAGCGGCCGGTAGGGGGCAGCACCACGGGGAGCAGCCGAGCTGCGCGGTGCGGCGGGTCGGCAGGGGGAACGGCGGGCGGCAGGAAAACGGTGTGCTCAAATTTATGGTCACTTCGGGTTGTTGTTGTTTCTGTTTTTTAAATAAACGGGCCCACCTTTCTCCATTTCTTCTCTGATCGGAAGCCTGTGGCCTTTACAGACCCAAATCTGCAAAACGGGACGGCGCCTAGGGAGGGGTGTAGGGAACAACCGAAGAGAAAGAGGTTTAAACATAGAGCGGGAAAGCAATTTTTAAAAGAGAAAGAAAGAAAATAGTTATTTAAAAATAAAAGAGAGGAGGGGGGGAAAAAAGAAAGCAGAGAGAGGAAGAAAAGAGTAAAGCGAAAAGGAGCTCTGGGGGTGGGAAAGGAAAAAAAAAAAAAAAAAAGAATAAATCAATGTGGAAGCGCCTCGCCATGCGGGGCGGGGCCGTGCGCGGGGCGGGGCGCGGGCTCTATATGGGGCGCGCGGCAGCCGGGTGGCTGCGGGGCGATGCAGAGCGCCGTGTTCGTTTCGCTGCCGCAGGACGGCGGGCGGATGGAGCGGGGCAGCCGGCGGCGCGCGGAGCTGGAGGAGGCGGACAAGGGCAGGATGATGAAGCGCACCATGTGAGTGGTACCGAACGGAAGGGTTTCTCTCTTCTGCTCGCAGCCCGAGGACGGCTCTCGGTAGCGGGGTGAGGTCGGTGGCTGACGGCTTCGTTTTAAATGAGTGTCTTTGTTCTTCCAGCATTAAGGACTGGAAGAAGAAGCTGAGCTACTTCCTGCAGAATTCTTCCCGCTCTAGCAAAATGAAGTCCAATAAAGCGAGCAAACACCACACCTACTTCAGGTGAGTTATGGCAGTAGATAATTCAAGTTCTGTACAAAATAAGCAGCAAACCTCAAGCAGTGCTCTCACGTTCTCTGCTCTTTCTCTGCCTCACACAGACCTTCCCCCGAGGAAGCCCGGCTGTGGTCAGAAGCCTTCGATGAACTGCTGGCTAACAAATGTAAGTTGGTCTTCAGGCTGTAGTGGTTAAGAACAAAACAGGGGAGAACCTGGTGTTGTTTAGCAATCGCTTCCCTGCGTGTCAGCATTGTACATTTCTCTGTAAAGTAATATTAAAACATTAAAACTCCCCACTATGGAGTATTGCAGCTGTAATCTCTGTAGTTCAACCTTACCTATTCAACCTGGCTTTGCCAGAAGTGCCAAGCACTGTTCTTCGCTGTGCTCTCTATACAAGACAAATCCATTCTTACAATTCAAGAACAATTCTGCAATGCAGAAGTCCACTGATTTATTATTATTATTTTTAATGGGGAGGATTTTTGCTGGGAGAAAAGCACTCAACAGCACTGCAATAAAGACTAAGAGCTGATATTGCCATTTCCTCTTTGAACTACTGAGTCATCCTTCCCATTGCAAAAGTGTTCCAGGGGTTTGTCGTGCTGTCAGAAGCATTTGCTCCAGCATAAAGGTTAATGAGGATGATCCCATATAGAGATCTTGTGTAGCATATCTGCAGGTATCATAAGGGTACACAGTGACTAGAAGCAGCTTTCAGTTTTGTGTTTACATAAAATTGGCTGACTTGAAGCCTGCCAAGCTGTTAGGGTGTTAATTTGCATGCAGTGTAGATTTCTTATTGCCTTGACGTTTCAGAAAGGACCAGAACTACAGCAAAATATTTTGTTAGGAACAGATGTGACAAATTGGTAAATTCAAGATGCCTGGAATACTTAATTGATGTGGTTTTGCTTTTCTTTCCCCCGTCTCCTTTCCCTAGATGGTGTTGCTGCTTTCCGAGCTTTTCTGAAGTCTGAGTTCTGTGAAGAGAACATCGAGTTCTGGCTGGCATGTGAGGACTTCAAGAAAACCAAATCCCCTCAGAAGCTGACACTGAAGGCAAAGAAGATCTACAATGACTTCATTGAAAAGGAGGCTCCCAAGGAGGTAAGGGAAGCACAGAAGCATTGCCCTGGTGTGTGTCTTTAGCCCCACTTCATTTCTCTGGACTTGTAAGACACAGATGCCACAAATGCATTGTGCACAACACTTCCCTGACTGCCTTCTTTCCACCAAGGTGGAAAATGGCACAATCTGTATTTTGGCTTTCATCTTAGCTGGCGGTGAAAAAAATTCAGCATTGTCAAACACCTGTAACACTTGGGTTTGGCACCAAAATACAGCATACCTGAGTTACTCCAAATTTTCATAATAAATCATTTAAAAGAAACTACATCAATTTAGCCCTGAAGCAAAAGCACTCCTATCCTCCTCAGAAGTGCTATACTTGTTGGGATTCAGTTCTTGGAAAGTAAGTGTCCTTTCTTTGCATTTCAGATAAACATTGACTTCCAGACCAAGAACATGATAGCACAGAACCTCCAGGAAGCCACACACAGCTGCTTCAGTGCTGCACAGAAAAGAGTTTACAGCCTCATGGAGAACAATTCATACCCACGGTTTCTGGAATCAGAGTTCTATCAGGAGCTGTGCAAGAAGCCTCCCATCACCAGAGCTGCCCAGGGGACATGAGTACAGAGCAAGGAGATGCCTCTTAGCTACCAAGGAACCGAGCTGGCTTGGCAGCATCCTGACCCGAGAGACTGAGATGGGTGCCCTCAGTTGGTTTGCCACAGCGTAAGGACTGATATTGACTTGGTGCAAAGCTGGTGGCAAAGGACATTGTTGGAAGGCATTTGTGGCCGGCAGCAGTGCACCAGGCTGGTGATGCTCTTTTTGGAGTGCTGCAGTAAAGGTGCCTCTATGCATCAAACTGAGCTGTGCCGTGTGACACACTCCTTGTCACAGCTGTGGTGTTATGCACCAGGTCAGCACAGAGCTGCCCTTCTGCAAGCAGAAGCACAAGTCTGTGCAGTTGAGCGGTGCTGGGAACTTGAGTCATGTATAGATTCTGGGTTTTTTTCCTGAACATCAACCAGTACTGCTGTCATCAGTTCCTTGGTGTTTCAACGCCATTTGTTTAAGCTGACACAGGCTGCAAAGAGATGTACTGGGTTTGTGTGTGGTTTGCAGGCACTACTTCCATCCTCACTGCTGTGCAAGGAGGGGACAGCCAGTTCAGCTCCAGAAGGAATGGGCTATGCAGCTGAGCCTGCAGGGCTGGGCATGGCAGCAGGGCTGCATGAGGCTGGGCAGAGGGCAAAACCCAGCCATAGTGAACAGGATCTATACAGTATTATATTTATATATGAATTATGATTGTGTTGAATACTGCAATATGTCAATTCTGTTTGAGACAGCAAGCTTCAGTGAAGTCTTACTGTTTTTAATAAACTATTTTGATACAAAGCTGCTTTTGTTGCTTGTTTTGCATGCAACTGGCACTGATCTCAATGAGGCATCATGCAGTAACCACTCTTACAAGTGCCATCTCCACAGGGCTATATTAAGCTATTAGTTCTTAATCTACAAGGCAAGTTAGTGCTTCTAACATAATAAAAACCTTCAGAGCTTGAAAGCTTTGATAGTTTTCATAGGGAGGTAGACTATCTCTACAACATGCAAAGTGCGTGTATGGCTGGATATTTCAGATCAGCCAGAAAGAGCAGCATTGCTGCTGAAGCTCACAGCCATGAAATATAGGCACCTATGGTGCAGCAGCACATCTGCTCCTGCTCAAGACCTCTGCTTCAAATAGGGCTTCATTTCCAGGCTGCAAACCATGCAAATAGAGCACTTTACTGCCTGCTGAGCAAGCAAATCGTAGCAGGAGTCTGGTCATCCACATTGCAAGGCTGGTTGATTTTTCTGTTCGTCAGTGTCCAAAACCAGCACCTCCAGCAGTCCCACAGACAGAATCCTGGCTTGCTACTTCCATGATTTCTCTGAACTCAAGGTCTGCTCACATCCTGGCTCCAGCTACTTCTCCCATCCTCCTCATATCACAGCTTCACCTGCTTTGTTCACATATAGCAGTCACTTCTCCAGGGATCCACTTCTCCAAGCATCAAGAAAAGCCTCACTATAGCATTTTACATTTCAGCTGTATATCAAGAGCAGCTATTCTATGCATATGTATACAAACTGCAGGATTTGCAGCAGTATACACATTCTACTCTCTCTAGACAGAAAGAAGCATAGTCCCAGAAACAGGGCCCTGTGAGATCTGGCTCTCCTACAGTCAAACTTGCTGGTCACTTCGGTTATACTCACATAGAGCAAGCACAATAAAAAAAAGACTCTGCCTGATAATTTGCTGTAACAAAGTTTTTTCCCTTCAAACCAGGACCCAAAAAAAAAAAAAAAAAAATTGGGCTGATAATTGCTTCTGTAATCTAACAAAACAATTTGAAAAGCATAAAAATAGTCAGAACTGTACCTATTAATGACTCAGAACCAGGGCAGGAAAAATTCCATGAAACTTCATGGGCTTCAGTGAAGCTGCATTGAGCTGTGCCAATTTGGGACGTGCTAATTAACCACTGCTGGTGTCTAGTTTCAGGGAGAGAAACACGCTTCAGCAGGTGCCAGGACTGCTTATAGTGCTGCATGTAGTCCAGAGGGGAAAATTAGGTGGGGCTGTTAGGCAGAGTATCAGTGCCTGCGGGCTGTAGTTGTATATTTGTAATAATTGGGTTGTTTACATGGATCTTAAGAAAGCCTGTGCTGGCAGCTCCTCAGCTCTCACAGTGCATGCCATCAGTACCAACAAGCCAAGCCATGTCCCTGGAGCGGTCTTTCTGCAGCCTAAGTACCCTGACTGATTTAAAAGTGCTGCTTCCTGTCCTCTGACTGCAGTTAAATTTGGTACCCTGCTCTTAGTATCCAGTGGCAACAAGTAACAAACTGCTCCCTCCTTCCCAGCTAGCAGCCTGCTCACCAGCAGTGGCGAAGAGGTCTGGGAATGGCAAGGGGAGGGCTGGGGTCTTGCAGGACCACGTGAAGTTGGCTAGAACATGAGCCTTTTCTTAGCTTCC